TTTTTTTTCTTTTTTTTTTATTTTTTGACAATAACAAGCCCTGTTCAAACAACCATGCACTGAACATGTCACACTATTTACACCTTTTCCAGAATCTTGGCCTTTGCAGGCACTAGTATGGAATACGTTCAGAACTAAGATAGGATTTGAGGTTGGGATTTTATCTGCAATTTGTGTTTTCAAAGAGGTTCCAGAACTTGCATTAGGCTTATTTTCAGAAAAAGAAAAAAGTGCTTAAAAATAACTACTTTAAAATGTTCAGTCTCATTAATTAATAGAATATTGAAAGCAACTTGCACAGAAGCAGGATACTGAAGCCTCATTGGGGGTTGGGGGAGAAAAAAAAAAGAACAAAACCAAACCAAAAGAAACCCTGTAACAAGAACAAAAAGTTCAAAACATGCCAGAATGAATTAAACCATTTGTCAGACAGGACCCATTGCTAGATACTCAATTTAACAGTGTAAACTTTGGATTCAAAATCATACATTTTAAATTACCCAGGCTCTTACCAGAAAAACCGAATTACCTGGCCCAAGGTCCGAATTTCTGCTGACAGTGATTGCTGCAGGCGTGGCTCTCCCAGCCGGCTGCGGGCGGTGCCCGAGGGATGCCCGGACAGACCGAGGGATGCCGGGACAGACGGAGGGATGCCGGACAGACGGAGGGATGCCGGACAGACGGCGTGCTCTGCCCCGCAGGGATGCTCCGCTTCCTTTGCTCCCGGGGCTCCCGAGGGATGCGGAGCCCCGGGCGCGGCTGCTCGGGCTCAGAGCCGCGGCTTTGGGTCCCGCCCGGCTCTGGCACAACTCCGGGGCCGGAGGGAACATCCTGCCCCCTTCTACGGATGTCCGGGCCCAGGGAATTCTGCTGGGCCTCCCATGCGTGTTTAAAAAAAAATAAGGAAAAAAAAAATTTCTTTTCTAAACCTTTCCCAGGCAGCACGATGGAGATGACTGCATCTGCTCCTGCCTTCAGTGGCAGATTCCAGGAGCGTGCCAAGGGAGGCCCCTCTCAAGCAGCCAGTGGGGGTAGGAGCCTGATCAGGACTAAATTTGAACATAACCCTGTCCCTCCTCCATACCTTTTTTTGCATATTTCAAACAACCAGACCCATATTAGAAAAAGAGTATAGGGGGGAAAAAAATCCTGTGATCCATGCATATCCTGACTGGAACTCAATTAATTCTTTCTGAATCTGGCTCCCATACCCTTTTTCATACAGATTTACATTCCTACAAGAGGATACATTCCTACCATACATTCTGTACATGTTACAATCCAGATGTTGTTAGCTTCACAATAAAATAAATATATTTACAGAAGAAAAAAAAAAAAAGAATAAATAATTTAAGAAAAAAAAAATCACTTCAAATCCAAAGCCCTCTTATTCTGCTCCCATCTTGTCACTTCATTGCACGTTAATGTCAATCTCCATCCCTGGTGTAGGTCTCAGAGAAATTCCATGCTTGGCTGCTGCTGGGACCACAGCACAGGCCCAGCTAGAGAGTCAGTGACTGTGCAGGGGGAAAGCCACAGCTCAGCCCTTCCTTCCCAGGCCTGCACCAGCCTTCCCAACCTTCTGCTGAGTCCCACAAATCAAGTAGGTTTTTGTCCTGTGGGATTCCTGTAGGGATTCTGCCCCAGGACATGCACTTCAGCACCAAGGAGCCACAGACACTGCCCAAGTGGCAAACTGGATTTAGAGCTCAGCTCCTTCTCTCTGGGTACAAAACCTTCAGCTGACTCCCCTTAACAGCACGGCTCTCTGAGAAGGGCTCTGGGAGCTTTGGCCTAGCAGGTGGTATTTATGCAGGTGTCAATACTTAAGTAATCCCAAAAGATGGGCAGCTCCAGCGTCCTGCAAATCACTTTTTACCCATGGTAAGGCAAGTGCCTGCCAAGCTGCCGTGTGAGGCTGGTGCTGTTCCAGGTTTGTGCTCCCAGGTACTCGAGGTGCAGGGACAGAAAGGCCGTGGGCTCTCCTGCAAGGGCAGAGAACTGCTGTGGAACAAGGGCTGGGTCAGCTGGAGCTGTCCCCCGCTCCCCGCCCTCCCTGCCCCTGCTCCCTAAAGCTCCACTTGGTCAATGGTTCTCAATTTGAAGCAATAACTTCCTTTTGTCTTTAGTCTGTGTAATGACTGCAAATCCATCAGCGCCCCAGTGCTTCACGGAGCTCAGCCTGGAAAAAGAAGAAAGCAAACCCACCCCGCTGGGCCAGCGCCCCCCTCCTCCCCAGCCCTGTCTCTCCCTGACAGATGAACTGGGAGCCAGAAGCGCCTTTCGCAGCTGTACATGATGCATTTCATTTCCATTAGGAGTTCCTTCATTGCAAAAATGTGTTTGCTCTCATCCTGTGTCTGTGTGCATATCTATGTTACATCTATCTATACACTAATAAATATATATGGCCTGTTTTAAAGTGCCAATTTATAAAAAGCCGCCTCCTCAAAAGGCAGGTAAAGACCCAATTTCATCCATGACAAGAAGGGAGCAGAATTGACTGAATATTGCCAAATGACGTAAAACATAATTTAAAATTTCTTAAATAAATATAAAAGTTATTCCTAAAGAAGCCATAGGCATGTCAACAATACAGGTTGTAACCGGCACTCGACAACTAAAGTACCATTGGAAAACTAAAATGCCATAGCAACTTCAGCAATAGGCATGATACATTGCAAACGTTTTTTTTTTCTTTTTAAATTAAATGTACACCACAACGAACTCAGGGAAAAAAAAAATAAAAATAGCCATTGGTGCAGTAAGAAGACTTCTCAGGTGTTACGGGGGAGGGGGACCATGCATAGAAAGCTGTGTCTGTATATTCCTTGTAAAACTGGTCTATAAAGTGTAAAGCAGGTAACACAGTTGATACAAGAACCCAACTCTAGACGAGATGCCAAGTGATGTCACACGACTGGCTCCAGTTTCGACAGCAATGGATACCAAAGCAAGTCCATCCAGTGCAGGTACGAGATGAGCTTCACTGCAGGAATACTGAAGCTGCCTTTTTCAGCACTTAGCACAGTGAGGTGGGAGAGGGGAGGAGAAATGCTCCAAGAAAGGGCGAGCGGATGCTCCCAGCCTGTGCCCATCAGTCAGGGAGATGCCATGGCAGGATGACTC